TAATAGACTAATATATTTAGGAATCTGCCTAATATCTATTTAGGAATCTGCCTAATATCTATTTAGGAATATTTTGTATTTTGGCAACTCTTCTATTATAAATATATCTGTCAGGACTCCTATTGGAGTACCCATTTCCCATTATTTCACAGAAATTACTTATTAACTATTAAATGCCATCACTTAATCTAACAGAATTAGAAAGACTACTAATCACCTTCATATTTCTTTAAAATTACACCGCATGTGAAATAGCACCCTAACAAAAAATGTACTACCACCACCTTCCCAGTTCCCACTATGTTTGGGACAAAGGAGTGTACCGGTGGGCGTAGCTCAACTGGTAGCGAGGGAGTGCCACAAGGGTTAGGTCTCGGGTTCGAATCCCGGTAACTGCGATGAGGGGTTACTATGCTGAAAAATGCATAGGGCTTCTGCAAGTACCGGGGACAGAGCCCCACTCTCTATCTATCAGATTGTGATTATAGTCCAATTTACATCCTCCCATCGTGTCGTCCGGTCGGTGTTGGGGGCCCTCAGGGATGGGGTGTCATCCTTTTTTTTTTGGGACAAAGGAGTGTGATACAACTTTTAACAAAAAGTGAAATTGTAAATTTAAATTGAATTGATAAAATGTGAATAAAGTAAGAATGAATCGTAACCATCCAAATATTACCAAATATGATATGAGACAAACTTAATGAGACTGACGAAAAGGGTAAAACGGGACAAAGTTAGGGGGACGGAGGGCAAGTATCTAAACTACAGAGTAATAATTAAGAAGGCAAAAGTTCGATATAAAAAAATCATATTATAAAATAAAGTTACTATCCTTCATTCCATAATTCTTGCAAAAGTTTGATTTTCACGTTTGTCAATGCACAACTTTGACTGTAATTATATTTAATTATGTATTAGTAAACATTATAAAAAGTTGATATTTTGGAAATTCACAATGATAAGAGTTCAATAACATTTTATACGTAATAATTTGATTATGTATATTAGTAGAAAATCATGGTCAAAGTGAGATCTGTGAATAGTGTAAAAATCACAATGTTGCAAGAATTATGGAACGGAGGAAGTATATTCAAGGATAAATAACAAACTTGAATCACACTTCATTTTTTAACAGAATAATGTTATATTTCAAACAAGTACCAACAAACTATGTGATACAACGGGTAGCGCCGATTTGATCTCATTTCGAAATTGTAATCTTGACCATTTTATAGTATGAAAAATAACGAGAATTCCAATCCAAAACCAGAAATGGTTCAAAGACGATTCGTTTCTAATCTAAAATATGTCTTTCTTTCCTAAAGCCAAATGTTGTTATTTAGAACTGTTCAGTGGGTTCAAAACTTTACTTGTAATTCATAGATGTATGTATATTGCTTGAAATTGACATTGTATAATCTTCTGCGGATTAAAAGTAATCATTTGAACGAACTCGACCCATCCATGTGGTAGTGCCCCCATTTAACAACGGGTAGCGTTCGATTTGATCTCATTTCAAAATTGTAATCTTGACCATTATATAGTATGAAAAATAACGAGAATTCCAATTCAAAACTCGAAATGGTGCAAAGACGATTCGTTTCTAATCCAAAATATGTCTTTCTTTCAGAAAGCCAAATGTTATTATTTAGTAATGTTCAGTGGGTTCAAAACTTTACTTGTAATTCATAGATGTATGTATATTGCTTGAAATTGACATTGTATAATCTTTTGCAGATTAAAAGTAATCATCTGAACCAACTCGACCCATCCATGCGGTAATGCCCCGCTTAACAAAATTTGGATGAATCAAATGGATTGTAGCTAGACACCAGCCTCAGTTATTTATGGAGTATTCAAGAATTAACTTAAAAGTAAATTTCAAAATGTGAACTACTTATATTTTAACATGGGGAGCATTTGCATGAGATTTTAAAAAAGTGCTTTTCAACTCCTAACTTAAAAGAAAGTTGAAATGAGTATTTTCAGGTGAGAGTTTCTACTAAAAATAAACATTTAAAAGCTAAAAGTTGGAAGCAAGTTGAATTGAGAGGTGTTTTAAAATGTTTTTCACTTTTTCTAATTTTTATTACACAAAAATTACTTATTTTATCAAACATTACCAACTTTTACTTTTCAGAAGCACTTTTTTCTCAAACGCTATTAAATTTTATTATGAGATAAGGGTCAGATTGGTACTCGAAGTTGCAAAAAAAAGGGTCAAATAAGTCCTTATATAGAAGACTCTATCCAACCATCACCATTTGAGGCGGTTCCCGATGAAAGTTTTTGACGAAATGTTTTGAGCATCTTATTCATTAATTCTAGTTTACTCATACCAAATTTCAGCTAAAACTTCAAACGAGAAGGCATTCACATGAATTCTTGAAGACAACTGCGCTTTTAACTGCACAGTTATCTTCAAGAATTCATTTGAATGCCTTCCCGGTTGAATTTTTAGCTAAAATTTGGTATGAGTAAACTAGATTTAACGAATAAGATGCTCAAAAAATTTCATAAAAAAGATTCAACGGGAACCATCCCAAATGGCGACGTCCGAATAATAAAGACTTATTTGACCCTTTTTATGCAACTTCGAGTACCAATCTGACCCTTACCTCGGTTTATTATTAAGCATTTTGTCTAAAATGTCTTCAAAAAATCACCTTTTTAGAGTAATAGCAATTGCAAAACTCCCTGGAAATCATAAATGGAGTACGAGTAGCATACTCCGTATTTGGTATTATTCCGTTTGTGGTAACTCACAAAACATTCCAAGGTTCGAATTTTGAGAGTAAATAAATGAGTTTATTTATAGGCCGGGATAACAATTGTGATCAATCCGATAGATACCCGCACTGAAATGTACTGGTTGAAATCGGGAAAACCGCATTGACCGGGTAATGGCTACGAAACGGGTGTTGAGACATGAGGTTCCATCCTAAAAGGTCAACCCGATAAGTGGAGTAGGCCATGTCTTAATATAGCACTTTGTTCATCCAAACTTTTTCGGTGTGAGACATCTAACAGCCCTCCTCACGACTAGACACTCCTCTTGGGTCGTGTCCTCATTCATTTATTTTTTCGTCGGTCCGTTTTTTTTATCCGGCCGTAATTGTCATTTTTTAATAATCATGTTGTCATTCTTCATAAGGGGCCCCACACTATGGATCGATTTGGCTCTGATACCATGTTAAGACCCGTGGTTCCATCCTAAAAGGTCAACCTGATAGGAGGAGTAGCTCATATCTTAATATAGCACTTTGGTCATCCAAACTTTTCCGGTGTGGGACATTTTACAACGGGGAATACCCGTTTTGTTTTTACGGGTAACGGAGCAATTACGGTATTATACATGCCCACCTCATTACCTGCCCCATTTTTTTGTTATATTTTTATTATAGTTTTTTTTATCTATTAGATAGTATTTATCCCACAACTACTAGAAGATGAGATTTTTCTCTTATCATTGTGTATATATATGGATATGAATAATAGATGTACTAACGATAGTGTATGAATGATAGTTCATAATAGATTTTATAGTCCTGTTTGATCATTGTCATATTGTTTTGCGATTAATTATTTTTTAGATTAAGTATTTTTAGGTTCAAATTAATTTAAATTGCCTTCTTTCACATCTTATAGATATACGAAATTTTAAATTGGCGTTTAACATCAAGAGTTGATTGAGTGATACAATTTTTCACCTTTTAAAATGTCATTTATACGATAGTATTAAAATATGAATGACCCATTTAATAAAGCTATTACCCGTGATTACCCGATGTTATACCCGTTACTACCCGTTGGGGCGCTTATAGCTTGAGTAAAAGCTAGTTACCCGTTGGGCAATGGGGTGGTTACGGGACGGTGAATTTATCCAACGGGACGAATACGCTTATATGTAAAATCATCTTCGATCCGTCCTGTTACCATATAAACCGTTTATATAAGGTCTTTTATATTAGATGAGTTTACGTGAGAGATTTGTAATGGTAGAAGATTGTATTTGACTACCAATGAGAGTCGAAGAGAGCAGTTACTAGAGTTGTAAACGAACCGAATTGAGTCGAATAATGAGATTTTGTATTTGCATTTGTTTAATTTTTTCGAATACAAATTCGAATTCAAATATGAAACAAATATTAATTTCAATTTGTATTTGTATTTGTATTTGTTTAACAATAAGAATAGTTAACGAATCATATACGAATATCGAATCGATTTGAGCATAAGTTAAATATTAGTCAAAATGTCAAATATCACTTTAAAATAACTTTTCTTATACTCTGTATTTTTTTTATGTAAATGCATGCTATGATTTAATTTGTGTTTTTTAGAATTTAAATTTAATGGATCAATGCATTTTTAGATGGTGCACAATGTGCTAAAGTGAATTAATCTTATGATTAATAAATATAAATCTATTTCAAACTTTTTGAAATAAACACTAACACGCACATATTAGAAATTATACTTATAATGCGTGAAATCAATTAATAATTGTATATATCAAAGTAAAAAAAATCTAATTTTATTCTTCAAATCAGATACATAATTATTTGTATTGAATTTGATATACATTTGAAAAATGATTTGTATTCGTATTTATATTCTGGTTTATTACAAATGGGCTTGAAATGTGTATGCAAAAATTATATATGGGCTACACTTTGAGAGTATTGCTATCTTTTAAAAGTTATTATAGTGTAATTACTATTATTATTAATATTGATATTAATATTACCATTATTATTAATCGAATATATTTAATTAATATTCGAATCGAATACATTCATATTCTTATTTGTATTTGATAACAACTCGAATCAAATTTAATATTCTTATTTGTGTTTGTATTTGAATTTTTTGAATTCAAATTGTCGAATTCGAATCGCGAATCGAGTGTAACTTATTTGATTAGAAGTTACCAAACAAGTCTTTAACTAAAATAGGAAAGTACACCTCTTCGTTTCTTTGAATTATTCTTACCAGAACGGTCCGTGAATTACCTACCTCCCTATTTTATTTCACGCGGAATGAACAGAGAAAGTGATAGCTGACCATCCTCTCTATAGACGCTGGCCTTGTAATTCCACTTGCTTTACCGAAAATTCTCGGGTCGGAAAAAGTCCGGCTGAATATCTCGCCCTTCTTTTCCTGATTCCTTATTCAAGTTAGGGATTTTGGGAAAAGCTACAGCATCCAATCGTTTGTCTTCTGGACGTGCTATTGTGAGTTGTCATATCGTCCAGAAATGGATCAGATTCTGAACAAGGCGGGTTCCTACTGGTTTAGCAAGAGAGCAAACAAGGAGCTGAATTCCGTCGGGGACGACATAAACGTAAGCTCCCTTTCTCCGATCTATTAGTTTTACCTCTTTAAATTGCATATATCGGAGATTTGGAGTTAATTTGCACAATTATGTGGGAATTTCTTAGCTGTTACATTTTCTGTTTGATTAGCATCAGTTTCTAAGATTGTTTTAATACAAGGGATTATTAATACCTGATATACTGAATATGATATAATCCATGCCAGTGAATTTAGTGGTCAGATCATTAATGTCCCTTCCATGCTTTCATTAACTATGAATTGTTGGTTTGGAATGAGAAATTATTGCTGGTTACTCCAAATTCTAAACTATAGAAGTGATGTAATACAAATTGGTCAGTGTGCATGATTTAAAACCTGGGCATGAAATACAGACAGCTATAAATGCATAAGATGGATGTGCTGTTCCTAATGTGAACAAAACAAAACCTTTTCAGATGTTAAAAAAACATCACAGTGCATATTAACTCATATAGTACGGAGTAGTAGATTTTGTAGGCTTGTAGCTATGTTGTGTTTGTTAAGTAAGTGGCTCGAAAAGGATCCCATAATGTTGAAAGTTCTCATGCATGAATTATCTCATTGTATAGTACTTCGAGAAAGCATAATCTTTTTATTTGCTTGGCTCCCATTAATTAACAGAAAACAATACGGTGTATCATTTTTCCTGTGTTTGGGGCAGAAAGGATGTTGTTATTTATTTTTGTTCTTTGGAAAATGATGACTTACTCTTTTGAAGAGAGAAAACCATTTTACTGAACTAGTGTTTTTAGGGTTTGATCATATTATTGTATTATTCAAAGAACAACTAATTTTCTAGAAAAAAACATCATCTTCTAGTTTATCCCGCACAAAAAATTATTTTTAGCGTTGAAACATTTCATTAAACATATTCATTTTCTAAAACCTATTATACAAATGTTGTCAAATTGATGGCCAAGTTTTAGATCTAAATTTTGTTATATTAAATTCATAAACTATTACATTTTTCATCATATTTCCCCTCATGGTCCATCAAATCAACACAATGGCATTTGATCAGATCATCATATGGTAATAGTGTAGCACATAAACTATGTTTTTCTTTTCTGCTTCTCTCCTTTGTTTTCTCCATTATTAGCCTCTCTGCTTTCCGTTGCCATAGTCTTTTGATTATATGGTAATAGTGTAGCACATGGGCCCTTTTGTTTTTCTTTTCCGCCTCTCTGATTTCTTTTCTCCATTTTTAATTTCTCTGCTTTCCTTTGCCATAGTCATTGCAAGTCAGTATCCAAAGCGGAACCCAATGGCTAGTCAACAAATTGAAAGGTTTGCATCATTATATCTTTTACTTAGCTGCCTTAATTTTTTTTTCTCATTCTCCTTTAATATGAGAATATGCTTTCAACTTTCAATATTTTATCATGTCTTACCTATGATGCACCTACATTTTTTTGTGGTGCTGTATCCATACATCCGAATGTATCATACCCAATACTCACTCTAATGCGCACTATGCATATTGGAGATGTGTCCGGTATTGTATAAACGTATAGAACCAATTTGTAAAAAAGCCAAAAGGATAACTTTACCATCAATTCCTATCCCTAAATCAATACCTGTATTACCCAACTTTTTTTGGCAATTGTATTGCTATTGTTTTCATTTCATTCAGTTTTCAAGTATTCCATCAATTAGCCGTAAAGTAGTATTGAAGTTCTTTCTATTTCTAATGTCCTACTATTGATTACTCTTAATTGAAATCTAAATTTCGAAATCCTATCATGATTACGAACTTATATTACCATAGTATAGCTATTGGAATTATGAAAACATGGAATCATTTTTTTGCAATCAATTCTTATATTTTCATTATTTGCAAATGTACCTGATCAGAATCTGTTTTTTTGTAAGGCGAATCACATGTTCTTAAAACTTGCAATCTCGCCACACCTATATGGATGGCCATATTTGCGTATTGATGCATGTGCATACTCGTCGACCTATATGGAGTTTTCCTAAATATGACTTGCATCATCATAGGTCTTTACAGAGCTTGCAAAACAAATAAAAAGGATTTCTATAGTACCACTAGTATTTAAATAGATTTGTATTTAAAAAGAGAGAAATAATGACATTCCATTAGCATATATTATTGATTCTCCATAGTGTATTTCATTTGCAGGAAAGATGCAGAAGTCATTGTCAGAACATCTAAAGGAGTACGACTTGCCAGAAGGTATTTTTCCCAGTGATGTAACACATTACGAGTTCAATGAAGCGACAGGAAAGCTCGTTGTCAACATACCGTCAAGTTGTGAAGTGGGCTACAGGGATAAGTCTGTTTTGCGGTTTGATACCACAGTGACAGGGTATCTTCAGAAAGGAAAGCTAACTGACATTGAGGGAATGAAAACAAAGGTGGTGATGGTTTGGGTAAAAGTCACTGCCATTGCTTCTGAAGGACCAAAGCTCCACTTCACAGCTGGGGTACAGAAGACCAGGAAAAGGGATTCTTATGAGGTTACTAAAGCTGGATTCAGTATAGATAAATTTTAGAGTGTGGTCAAATAGCAGTCACCGCATGAATATATGTTGTAATGACTTTTGCTACCTTCTTTACTACTTGTTTCTTTGCCCATTTTCTTGTCACGTGCTTTAATGACATTTCCTAAGGCTGTTGCGTTCGCTGCAACATTCCTAATATTAAGTTACAAAGTGTATCTGTGTATGCATGTTCATTCCATGGATGCGGGCATTTTCGTTAATTTGTAACCATTGTTTTCATGCTGAACAAAACACCAAGTGCTGTTTATGAAAATTTCCAAAAAATGAGATAAAAAACTTGCAGCAGCCATGAATCAAACCCAGGTAGTGTGTAATAAATCCCTTGATAGCTTGTTTTCACGGCATGAAAAAGAAAAAAACGTTTTTAACACTTGAATCATGTTACTAATAAAAAGCTGCACTTTTATGTGTTAACAACATTTCTAATAGAAATTGTTATTGATTTTGATCATGAAGTGGAATATCGTGTCCCACTGTCCCCCGTATATGCTTGACAAAAACTGTTGCAAAATTTCAACTATAATTGTGGTGAAGAAACATATAATCATCTACAAAACCTTCCAAAAAATGAGGCTAATAGGTTTGGTAATTATAGATAAGACCATAAGAGATGTTGAACAATTGATTTTACTATCTTTGATGCCCAGCATATCCATTGGATGAACCTGGTTATGGTCTCGTGCAAAAAGAAAGAATGGTAAAAATAGTAATGGAGCTTTGATTGGACAAAATAGATTTTATTTTAAATTGCACAAGATTAATTATATTTTAAGCAATGGCCTAAAATAACCTTAAAACGCCCTCACATAGTCACATATATATCGTCAAACCTCAGCTCTCCATCCAACCTTACATTTCTTCAGATATGATCATTACCCCCCCCCCCCCCCAATTAGGATGAGATCATTTCACTCTAAAGAATTTCAATTTGTTTATTCTTGTAAAAAGACTTGATAAGTACTTCCATAGTCTCAATATAGTTTGCAATCTCTGTTGTTCTTTATTGACACAGTTTGACAAGTACCTATACAACTTTCTATGTAGTAAGGTTTGAATTTGTAAGTTTTATTTATTCAACAAATTGTAAATTAATTTGGGACTAAATTACAAATAAATTTGGAAGGAAGGAACTATTATTTTAAAAGTAAAGCATAATTAGACTCTTGTGTTGGGTTTAGCAATAGTGTCCCAATGAGGCATCTACCACTCTAGAAGAAGCCACCACCCCAAGGGAGTTCCTCAACCTGCCACTATCAGGTGCCTCCGGCTTCACCCGCCACGGCAGCGAAATGTCCCACCCACCACATGCCTTGCCAGTGCAGCTGGTGAGAGACTCGCAGTAAACCTGTCTCCCGTCCAATGCTCGAGCAAAACTGGATTCAGGCTGACCACCATTAACCAATGGATCCGTCGCTAGCGCCTTAGCATCCTTCAAGAACCTTAGAAAGATCAAATCCCCGGGCTCTAAATCATCCGCTCTCGAAAACATGTTTCTACGAGTCTTATAACTGTTATTGTTGTTGTTATTGTTGTTACTATCAGCAGTATTATCTGACGAAAAAGATTCGCTTGACAAGGAAACATCAAGAGCGTCAGAGTACAGAAGCTCTCTGTCCCCTTGACACCCTGGAGGTGGTTTGGGAACGGGCCAGATTAGCCCGTTACCGTGACTAGCCTGCTGATTATTATCTTTCGGCCTCCCCGCGCTCTCCTCCCAAGAAAACGGTATTCGATTTTCATCCGTGTTGGGGTGGTGAATTAACCTGCGAATTCTGGATGTTGTCGGGCGCCTGGCTGATAAAAGTGGGGCACTAAGATCTAATTTCCTGGAATATTTTCCTTCATTGTGACTGTCTGCTGCTGCAGCCTCCATGCATATGATGCTAACCAGTTGCATTATTGACGTGTACGTTGATATTTGGGGATATCAGTGGCAGTTGAATTGATCGAGATATACATATATTTATGAGTGAATTCTGATCAAGATAACATAAACCTCGTATATATACATAATCTGTATGATTTAAGAAAAATATGCTAGCAGACCATTATTTATATAAGTTGTGGCATGGCATACGTATTACGTACAGCTGGAGAGTGCAGGAAACTCGTGGGCATCAACTACTCCGTAATTTAAAGGAAAACTTTAGGATGGAGTTCACACTTTTCTTTTAAAACTTTGGGAAAATGAAAATTAATAATCTAACATTTTAGTGATCTTCTTATGATAGTCCGACTTTATCGTACTTCAGGAATTAACAAACCGTTGCACATCATCTTCATTCGTTGGCCCATGACCAGTTGATAACATGCTATTTCAGGTTTTTTCATTACTTGTGCAAATCACTACCATAAATCTCACCTTCTACAAATCTTCTCGAAACGGTCCTACATATGATTTTTATGTTTTCTTCCTAAATTTTTCTTTCCTTTTTATGTATTTATATTCATTGTAGTCTCTTTTTATTATTTTTTCGGGCTACTTGTTTGTATTTGTTCTTTGAATTTTTAGAAAAGAGAAAAATATAGAGGACATTCCTCCAATAGTATTTAATGAAACTTTAATTGCAAGAATAGGAGTATAATTTCAAAATTTCTTAAATAGGACTAGCTTTCGAATACTATCCTTGCTTTGTTTAGTGCAATTCATATTTCATTAATAATTAAAACATAAAAGTAATAACATCACCTTATTTATAATAAAAATGTAGCAAAATAAAAACATGAAAAATAAATATTAAATAAAATTAATAAAACAAAAACATTACAAAAATTAAAACTATAAAATTAAAAACTCAAAAATATAAAATCAAAAAATAAAAAAAACAGTAAAAAACAATATGCTGGCATCTGCTGCCGCTTCAACAACCTCTCAACACCACCAGCTCCGACCACTCGAAAATGCCAACGTGTGCTAGTATTGTCATCTTGATGACAAAATTTTAGAAAATTTTGGCATTTTTAGAGAAAAATTATAGTGTTTATATAAAATGATATTTTTTTCGCCGACTGGAGTTGGCGTTGCTAGGAGGTGGCAAGACTGCGGCAAAGACCATTATTGGCGAACAAGCTATATAATTGTTAAAAAAAAGCTATATAAATGTTATTATACACAATAATAAATCATTGGGATTATTGTTAGCGGATCGACAATTAGTGATTTTATTATTTTTCAGTTTTCCCTTATTAATATTATAATGCAATTCGAGCATTTACCCGTGCCGTGCACGGGATAAAATGAAATTCATCTGGGCAGAAATGGACTAATTATCCATGCCATAAATTTTAATTAGATTGTGTTTGAGACAAATAAAATTAAATATAATTCATAAGTTGATTATATGTGTACTTATTGTTCTTACAATGAGATGATAGCTGAAATTCAATTTATGTTTAGATAAATATGATTAAAGAATTGATTTCATTTGGATGCAACAACAAATTAGCTATGCCTTTTTGAAATTTTCCATCAAAATGTTATATATAGAGCTAGCAATAGTGTGTTCAGACCATTCAAAATAAGATTCACTCGAAAAAATGTATAATCATATATTGTTGTAATCAATTAAATTCAAACTTAATTGTCTATAATTATATAAACTGACGCGAACATATGTACATCATTACCTTTCTCCCAAAAAGGTTTGTGATATTAACGCTGGATGATGATTTTAATGATTGCATTTGTATATATTTTATAACTTTTATGTGTTTATGAAAATATTTTTAAAAAGGAACATTTTAATATAATTTTCATATTCATAATAAATTCATATTAAAATATCATTTGTCAAAGTTGCCTATAATTGATAAAAAAAAAGTTAATTTGACAAATCTTTTTATGTTTGAGGGACTAAAGCAAAATTAAAAATTAGATGTCCTTTTATTCTGTGCACGACATGAGTTGAAATGTAATACTAGATAGTCAATTTATATATATCTTTTGATTCTAAATTGAATCGAACAACTTCGGATGAGTTATATCTACCTTGTAAAATATTCTAACTTTTGTTTTAACATATTTAAACAGTTAATTTATCAAAAGGATAACTTGCGTATGTATAGAAGAGTAATACATGGAGATTGGTTAAATACTTTTTCATCCGTTATAAATGTGTCATCTTTCTTTTTTAGTTATTTTAAAATTGTCATTTTTTCCTCTAATCAAAATTGTCACTTTGAGTAGGCTTGAATCTGGATCAAATTGACTTGGCTTGAATAACTATTCGAACTAAAAATCTAACTTTTGTTCGAGTTCGAAACTCATTAAACTCGGATCGATTCGGTAACATCACCTTGTGTGTGGTGAAAAAATTTACTCCTTAGTTCACCCCATGTTTAGGTTCATTCTTGGATTTGTGAAATAAACGACCTTTGAGTTGGATTTAAAGGAGATGTAGCAGTAATACACATTGCCGCAATGTATCACTCTTTGAATGGGGTGATCGATCTTAAGGATGGTCTCGAAATTCGGGAAACATTTGAAAGTTGGTCTGCTACGAGCATCTCATTCCAACAATCCTCAATTAACTCTCTTGAGTTCATGAGGATCAAGCTTCAGTGAGGCCCCTGAAGGGCGGGTGTTAATTAAGAGCAAATGCTTTAATTTTAAGGAAAAATTGATAGTAATAATCCCAACTATTGGCGGTCCGCTCATAATAATCCCAACTATTGATTATTACAGAATAATCCCAACTTTAGGGACCTTCCGCCAATAATGGTCCCTATGAATAAATTCTTGTAGTTTCTAAAGTGGATGAGATGAGATATAACAAGTAACAAAATGATCCAGATGATGGAGAAACTTAATTCAATCGGAAATTAAGTAATTTTGTTGAATCGAAATCAAGAAATCTTTTAAACAAAAGCTAACCTAAATTGCGGATTTCTGAAATGTCTTGGGTTTTGAAGGGAGCTGCCATTGTTGAGAAGACGGAAATTGACAACATGTTTGTATCGAGGGTTGACGTGCGTTAGTAATAGAAGTGTTAAAATGTTTAGTACTCTCTCCATTTTCTATTTTAGGTCTCTCTTTCTATACATTCTCTCTTTCCATTTTTAGAAAGCTTTTTTAATAGGTTTCAGCTGACCATAAACGCTGGAGAATATGGAAGGATCCAACACAGGAGGAAGCAGCAAGAGAGGAGATGGCATTGGATAACGCAAAAAACGGGAGGAGGCGGGTCTGAGCGATCTTAGACCCGCCGATGGCATGCGTGAAGATGAGTTTGAAGTTTTTCCATTCTGAATTTTATTTTTATGTCGTCTGTTAGTTTAATGTTCA